TTGTAGGTGAATCTCCCTATTTTACTTTCCCATATTTTAATTTTTTTATTAATTTGCATGCCGTTTCCTGTGACTTTTCTCACTCTGCTTTAATCGTTATATCTGAAAATTATTTTGATCACAGTTAAAACATTATGGTGCTAGTTCTCAGACATTCTATTTCATCTCTCAAACATATGGGAGCATTTGTTTTATGATCATTCTTCAAAATGCATTTTTTTTCTGATTACATATGTTTGGCATGGTGCTTTTCCTTCGAGATGTGAAAGGAGTTTGGTCAGCCTCCAAGTCTAAACACACTAATTTCAAAAGCCACAATCCTGAGGGCTTCAGTTCCTGTTTACTGAAGAATTAAAGTCTTGTTAAACTGTATAGTTACTAAATATGTCTTGGGCACTTTTTGTTTTCCAGCAACAAAAAATATATATGCTTATTAGTCTGCATTATTTTAGTACAGTGAACATATTATTGGCATATTATTTCTATTTTTTATTCCTCAGTTTGTACAGATTTTCTATACATTTTGAATAAAATATAAAATCAAAGATGCTTTCATAAATCACTGCAGTATCTATTCATTTAAATGGTGTTAAAATTACATGCATAAATAAAAGCAATGGATAAAATAGTAGTTTGATTAAAAACCATAACAGGGGACAATTTTTATACCAAATGATTATTGTAAAGCTGGTTTAAAAATGGATAGGTCACTTTAGGGCACAATCCTGAACTATTCCAGCTGGGACTTATAGGTTTTCTTTCTGTCTAAACCTGTATAGGATTGTACCTTTACTGAACTAAATCCGCTCTCTGAAACCAGAGAGACTGCCCTTTTGAACACACTGGAACTTAGTATATAAATATATAGGAAATACAGTATCAGTACAATACAGTAGGGTTTATTTCTGCACATAATAATAATTGGCTGTATATTCTACATAATTTACATTTTATTCATTAAATAGTTGTAGAGAAAAACATTTGAGTAAATTTAAAAAAGCTTGTCAATGATTATGTATCCAGCACATCCTAATCTATCCATCTTCCATTCTTGCTTCATAATTGTTCATGATCCCAGAGATTTGTTTGTTCAAAATAAAGGTGCATGTGAATTCTTAACTATAAACTAATTCTGTAGGCAGTAAGAAATATAATTTTCCAAACAAATGGATGTTTGCGTTTCTAATAAACATTTGACCCAATATGTCATTTTTGAAACAGCTTGCTTTATTTTGCATATGTTGGTAGGGATTTTTGTTGTCAGGCTGGCCTAGGATTCTGCTAAAATGGGTTTTATAAATTGATGAAGCTTACTTTCTGTTTTCATAAACTAATCCTAGGAAGGCAATAGACATGTTGCGTGGAGGCAGCACTGGGTTAGATGAGAGTGAGTGAAGAGAATCCTGAAGCAGACAGGAGCAAAGTGCAGTTTGGAGGTTCTCCTGGATCATGCACTAGCTCTAGAGCAGCAATCTCCAGATGCTTATGACTTTGGTACCCATCAGCTCCAGCTAGCATGAGCCATGGTTAAGAATACTGGTAGTTGTAGTCCAAAATGTTTAGCAAACACTAGGATGGAGAAGACTGCTTTACATATTTGCACAGGCATGGGGGACAATTCTGATAGGGTTCCCTCCATATGAGATGCTCAGGTGACTGTGACTTGGTGTACCTTTATCATCAGGTACATGCCTACCTGAAGAAGGTAGACATGGCTTCATGTATTCTTTTTTCCAGTTGGCTCCAGCTGAGATTGAGGCAATGCTCTCTACATGGGCTGTCCTTAAGAGCTGGTTCGAATATTAATCCGATTCAGAATAAGTTACCAGGTTGGATATTGGATTATACACCTGTCCTGGGTCATTGGACTGGTTACTAGTTTGCTTCTGAGATGCCAGTTTTGACCTTTCAAAGCCTAAATGTTCTTGTTCTGGGACATAGTATGCTGCCTTAATCTGTAGAAGCCTACCTAACATTTAAGATCAATATCTCAAATTCTGCTCTCTGGTCTCCCCTTAGAATGTTAATCTGGCTAAGACCAGAGACTGGGTCTTTATCACAGCAGCAGCTCAATCACTCGCCCCTTAGGAAGTGCCAGTAGCTCTGCTAGGCATACTTTTATTGACATTCTGCTGCATGGGGTGGGGCACACAAATGGGTGCTCTCCCCTATCGAAATCAATATCCCGCTAGCATCTCTCTCTGCTCCCTGGCAGGAAGAAATGCAATAAAGATACAACTTAAATTGGAGTGTGAGGAATTTATACTCTTTCCAATTGATTTCTTCCACCAAAAGTGGAAGAATTCAGGGCTGCAGTCACCTAAAACTGAATTCCTCAAGATGCCTCATCAGCCACATCTGTACTATATGATTAATAATACAATCTGTGCCTGGAGAGCAAAATAAGCACACCAGGATTACTGAGGTGAGAGTTCTGAAGGCTGTCTTAGAGGAGAATCCTAGCCAAAATGTTTTGCTTTCCTATTTGAGAAATATTTGATGGCGAACTCTAAAGGAGAATAAACGTGCATTCTGTTTGATGTGCTATAGTCCAATTAGCTTGTACTCAAAGGCTTTTTCTTTAATTTCTTTCAATGTATTATTTCAAAGATGTGTCAAGTATAATCAGGAGCTAACAAAATTTTATATGAAGCATCTGCCGAATGTTCTCTTTGAGGGGAATAGAAAACTCCCTTTTAATTTACTACTATGGTGTGCAAATTTGGCTTAAGCTTTGTTTTAGTTTCTAAAAAAGAAATAAATGTAGCCAAAATTAGCTTTGGAAGCTAATCCTGTAGCTTTGAAAGCCAAACAGCTGTATTGCACAAAAGAAGTAAAAGCACCGTGAGGGGAAATTGAAAGAACTGGGCATGTTAAACCTCCAAAAAAGAAGAGTGTGGGGAGATATGATAGCACTATGCAGGTACTTGAAAAGCTGTCACAAAGAGGAAGGACAGGATCTCTTCTCAATCATCCCAGAGTGCAGGACATGGAATAATAGGCTTAAGTTACCCCAAGCCAGATTCCAGCTAGATATCAGGAAAATATTCTTGAGTGTGAGAGCAGAATGACAATGGAACTGGTTACCCCAGAGTTTGTGGGCTCTTCCACACTAGAGGCATTCATGATACAACTGGATGGCATCTGAGAGGGAGGGTTTAAGTTGGTGTCCTGCAACAGCAGCCGGTTGGGCCCAGTGGTTTTCTGGCCCCTTTCAACCCTACTATTCTGTGATTCTATGATTCTGTAAATAGCAATCCTATGTCTTCATATCAACCATGAATGTGTTTCCGTACCACATAGCTGGGCAGCAGAATTGCATCTACCCTCTTCACTAAATGACCTGCCTGGATGATTGGGTACAACACCTAAGGAGATGTGTTCTCAAGTCCTAATCCTTTCCTCTTGTATGCCACTCCAAAATTTCCAGAGCATGTGAATGGCACTCTAAAGGAGCAGTATATCGCTTTGGAAAGTTGCATCTGTTTCCTTTCTAAAGTAATTCTCCTGTCATTCAGCTTCATTGGATGAACTCGGGTTCTAGTATTATGAATTGTACGTGATTGTGGATTTACAAGAGCTGAGCATGTTGTTTCCAATCTCTCCCTCCCCATTCCTCATTATTTTTCTAAACTGTAAAGTGTTGTTCTCCATAGGGTTTCAACACTTCAGGATGCATGTGAGGGATTTTTTATTTGAAGCAGAGCCTAAATGCTAAATTTTCTCTGGTAGATGCAGAATAAACACATGTGCGTGCATGCGGGCGGGTATTATCATAGCTGAAAGAATCATAGCTGAAAGTTTGTGTACATGACTCTTTTAATTAAATACTTGCTCAAAGAGTTTGTAAATTAAATCATTTTAGCAAAGGGCTAGATTTAGCGATTATAACTCCCAAATAACAGCTGGAAAAAGTGCTTTATTTTACTATGCTCCACAGCTGAGAATAAGACTAGAACTCCTCTTATACTGTACTTGCTCAGATGCATCCAGTGCCCTGGCATAATCTTGCTAGACCACAAGGTGCAAACTTCTAGCAGGTACCTCCTTCACCCACCAGCCCCCAATTTGAAAAATTGATGGGTTTAGTGGCATATCTTGACTAGTTTAAGTCTCTTTGTTTCAGCTCCTTCCATCGCAACAGTCCTTCCCCTTCCCATTGTCAATGATAATAGTGATAATCTTTTTAGTACCCAGTAGCCTGAAGGCTCTCTTTTACACATTTTGACCTGCAAAATAACTGTTGTTCTTTCCTTTGAACAGAATATGGTTGGAAAAGGATACCTCCCAGTAGAACAGTACTCAGATATTAGATGCTACTGCAATTTTGATTGTGTTGCTTTTCTCCTAAGTGCAGCACATCTTTATGAAAACATGTAATGGTTGGTGATACTGTATCACAAGAGGTCTCTCTCGTGTGTTTTCTCCACCCATTGATGAATAACTACCCCCACCCCCACGCACAAACACAACTCTTGAATCATGCAGCAATCCATGGTGTTGAAAATTTTAATTCAGGTTGTCATGCCTTACCTTATTGAATGTGCTTTGGTGATCAAATTGCATTCAGGTGCAAGCAACCAACTATTGAAAAAGAAATAGTGCTTAAGAGGGTAATTTGATCCTGAAAAGCATATGAACAGCTCAAAAGAGTTGGAAGGGGTGTAGCTCATGTACTGTCTTGATATGCTGTGCTTGAATTAAAAGATCTCTTGCAAATTATTAATAGACTTAACATTATATGGTGTTTGGAGAGGTTTAGTTCTGGATCAAACAGTTTTATGTGTAACTTTATTCCATTAATTACCACTGAGGGACGCCAAAAACATTGTATACACATAACTCACATGAAATTGTTAGAATGAAAGAATAATAAATGATTTATAATTGACTAGCTTTTTGATATGTATTAACTTCTTACATATTTATTTACAGTATATGTACTCTGCTTTCCAGCTGTAATTGTTTCTTTATATTTGTGGGTGTTTCTTTTTTTAAAGAGAGCACAATCGGATGAACTGGAAAAGATAGAAAAACATGGCAAGTCAAGCAAAGAAAAAGAGAATGCCAAGTCTTTAGACAAACCCGAACAGTAAGAACACTAAATTGATTGCAGGGAATCAAACCATTAATTTTTGTTTGCTTGTTTCAGGTATGGTTCAGATTCAGTGCAACTGAAGTCCTGCTTCAGGCTAATAAAGGTTCTGTCACCAGACAGAACACACGGTTCCCGTTCAGTTCCAGTTTGCATTTAGAAAATTTAGATGCATGCAATTTTATCATACCTATCTTTGCTTTGAGACAAGTGGGCGCTAGCAGCTACTGCAAAAGCCAGTCTTGGCTGTGAGCACAGCAAGTCCTGCTGAGCCTCTGTCACCAAATGGAGCATTAACTCAGAGCAGCGCTGACCCCAGAGGCATTGTGGTGTGCAAAGCAAAATGGGAGGTCCAGAGGCAGCCTTTGCTGGCAAAGCTGGCTTTTTTCTGTGTTAGCCTGCATACTTCAAGGAAGGGGCAGATGACTGGAGATGCCAGATCCGCATCTCCACTGCTGGATGGGAGGGCTTCCCTGGCAGCATCCTCTCAGTGCTCTCAAGAGCAGTCCTCAGCGGTCACTGACTCTTCTGCTGCTATTCCCTACAGGAGGGCTTGGCCATCCATGAGAGGCTTCATTGTGAGTATCCCCTACACAGGGAGATTGTCAAGGATCCCACAAAAATCCATACCAACCCTGTCAGCAGTCCTGTCTGGATCAGAAACCAGAATATTTGGTTCTGGTATGGTTCAGGTTCAACAGAGAATTCAAGTTAATGGCTCAGATTCCATTCTGATTCAGGAAAAAAAATAAAACTTCTTTCCAGATTTTCGTTCGGGTTCAATCTGATACTGTTTGATTGGGCATTGAATTAGGCTATAATACTGAGTTCTGCCTTGTGGAAATAAAATTTGCCAGTAAAGTTTCTCTGACAGAACTAAATCATTTTTTTCATTAACTTCTGCAGGTTTCTTTATGAGCTGTCCCTGATTCCCAACTTCTCCGAGAGAGTCTTTTGTATCCTGTTCCAATCAACATTTTCTGAAAGCATTTCCTCTATCCATAGCAAACTTGAATTGTTGCAGAAACTGTGTGAGGTAGGTTCTGAGCCATCTGATGTGAGAGTTAGATTTGCTGATATTTAATCTTTCTTGTTCATCGATACTCATATTTCAAAAGTTTTATTTACTTTAAGCGCTCATTAAATGTGAAGGATAGCAGTCCTGCTGAATGGAACATTTTATGATTGTACTTCAAGATCAAAGCCAATCTTGAGATTTGGCTTTCAGTGCTGAAGAATAACATCACAGGTCTGTAGCAAATGCACATCAACATCTAGAGAATAACGTACCTTCTTTTTGTGCCAAAGCAAAATCTTCTCTCATTTGTAACGGACACTGCCTTCCCTTTAGCGTTTTCCAGACAAACACTGTTTGCCTTTTTGTCTTTGGAAATAAACTTTCTGGCATAATGCCTCATAATCAGATCACAGAAATTTGGTGACACTGGCATGGATTATGCAACAATGGCAAAACATCATCAGAGCTAGGGAACTATGTCTTTAAAAGTCTTTTTTTGTCTTTAACAAGCAGCAGCTTTGAAATATCTGTTGAAAAGGTTATTATAAAATTATTCTTGTGAATTAGGATGCACCGCTGCTTCTTCAATGCATATTGTTTCATTCAAAACTCTCTCCTTTAAAGTGAAGCTTTCAGTCATATTTCTCAGGAATAAAACTTGAGGCATGCTGCTAAGGTGGTTGAAATATTCCGCACCTAAACCTGAAGGAACGTCTTCCATATTCATCCACCAGAACACTGAGGTCCTCATCTGAGGCTGGGTGCTCCTGTGAAATAAAGTGAAACCAGTGGCCACAAGCGCAAAAGTCTTCTAGCTGCGTCACCCTGTCTCCAGAACACACCCCCTGAAAGCCTCACCTGCCACTTACATGGTGGCTTTCCTGGCACCAAGTCTTTGTCTCTCCCCAGACCTTTTAGAGACAGGTTTTAGTGTTTTTATTTTTGTTTTTCTCGTGTCTTGATTGGGGGGCGGGTGTTCCTGTTACTTTCATGTTGTTAATTGCTTTAAGTGCTTTAATTATTTTATCATCTTTAAGGGGATTTTCCATGCTTCTTTACAGCCTGCTCTCTCCTGTGCTCAGGCCCTTTCCCCCTAGTTAGGGGTTCCTTATTCAGCCCATGATCCCAGCAAATCAGTGAAAATTGCACTGTCACAATACCAGATAACCCATTAGATTTACTAGGATGCAATGTTCCTGAGGGCAGCTGGGGCCTTGGACAGGGAAAGAACGGTACTTTTAATGAAAACTCTCCACTGCAAACAGTGCTTCCCTTTCAGCAGTGTTTCATGGGGCATTACCCACCCCACTGTTTGAGCAACAAACAATGTTGGGGATGTAGCCTTACTGACGAGTCAAATGAGTCAATGTGCCACGCAGGGAGCAATGACCAATTTGCCTTGCCATCAGTGGTGCATTCGCCTTTCCCACCAACACCTCTGCACACACACAATGGGAAAACACTTTTCTGGAATCTTGGTAAAGATCATCAGATAAGGGGGCACTATTCACTGGGCGAAGTGGTTTCCCAAACCTACCAATGCCCCTGATTCAATGTGAAAGAATTAACCTTTTTTCCTTGCCTGCCAGGTACAGAGAGAGCATGTGGGTTGGATCATCCTTTTCCATCCTCCCTGCTTTTCTCAATGGATTAGTAAATAGTCTTCATCCATTACAACACCCATACAGTCATGTTGACCTGTAAAGCAAATTCGCATATCCTTTGCCATGCTTTTGGTAGCAGCAAGAATCCTGTGCCTGAAACATAGGGTGAGATACATGGCCTGCGCCACTGACAATTGTTCATGTATCCTACATGAGACTGAAATGGGACTATAATTCCCAAATTATAATTTGGATAGTTTCATTCTTCCAGATTCCTCCTTCCATGAGAAAAGGCCTGAACTGATTATGGAGCCCAGACTAGTATGCAGAAGCTTGTAAGATGGCCATCTTTTGTGCCAGCCATTAAAATGCCAGGGATTTCCTCCATGGCTGACTCATTCCTCCACAGTTGCTGCTGGCCTGGGTTCAGCACTTGCTAAACTCTGTGCTAACAGCTGGAAGAGGGTTGAGTTGCTGGTGAAAAGAGAAAAACAGAGATCTTTGTGCAACAGTTCCTACATCTTTTGCACTCATGGTTTTTCATTACGTTCAGAGACCACTGCCCATGGTATTAGGCTCTGGTGCCCAATCCATCAATTACAGATTGCTCAACACTTAACCGCTTTTAAGTATTTTAAGAAAATGAATAAATAACTAACAATTTAGCATGAGGACAGAGAGAATTGAAAAATGTGATGAGATGGCTTAATTTGTTCCTTAGGCACAAAACCCAAGAGATTTGTTGCAACAAGTTACATTACGGTTTACAAGATTTGCCCTTTTACCCTAGTGGATGCCAGTAAATCCTTCTACTGTGGTATATGTGTCTTCAACAAGAGTAAAGGTGCAAAATGGTCCATGCCTGCCAAGCTCTCAGCCCTGATATTCCCGTGCCAGTGAAGGAAAATGTGGTGGAAGGAGTGGAATAGAGTTGAAAGTTGTGAACCATCCTATGAACCTTTGATTATTTTAAAAGTAATTTTATTTCTGACTCAAGTGAGCAACAGTTAGTTATTTAATAGAAGTTCCATTATTTTTAACTCTCTGGGATAATCCTAGGTTGAGTTTGATATTAAAAATAAGTTGCATCAATTTTTTAAAATAATTGCTAGCTATTTAATTAAATAAATTGAACTGAATTTCAAGTGCAATGAAACTAAATGTTTCTGAAGTGTTCACCGGGATGCTGCTGTATCTTGTTTTCTAGACATTGAAAAGTGGCTCCGGAGTTATGCGGGTTTTAGGATTGGTCCTTGCTTTCGGCAATTACATGAATGGAGGAAACAGGACGAGAGGGCAGGCAGATGGCTTTGGGCTGGACATACTTCCCAAATTGAAAGACGTCAAGAGTAGTGTAAGTTTTCTAGTGCTTGTTTGTTTGCGTTGCTGTAAATGTCAACAGTGCCCCATGCTTACCATACTACATAAATAGCTGATTGCCTTTGCTGGAGATATATTGCTTAAGGCTTGTTTTCATATTCATTGAAAATGAACTGTCATTTCAGAGGCTCCAGATTTAGACTTTAGAAACAGCAATACTTTCTTGTACAGAGAATCCCATGGATATTGGCTTCATGCCCACATTGGTATTGCATTCAGACTCTTCTTCTGTCTGAGATGATAATTGTACTCATTTACATGATCAGAGGAATGCTAATAGAGCCAGGATTTTTTTCTAGTGAACAGGAATTAAATCAAAAACCTGGATAAACCAACTTCTGCAAACAACTACAGGAAAGCGCTACGCACAAGGAGAAGAAGGAAGGAAGCCTCGAAGTGCAGGAGAAGAAAGTTAATTATACAGCTGTTCAGTTAATTGGATAACTTGCCTCCACAATGTAGCATTTGCTTCTTATTGGTGATGTTTAGTTATAGAAAAAATCAATTGATTTAAAATGGAATTAGTTCAGAAGTCTTCAGTGTAATTACGAATTAATTGATCGCTATATTGCATCCAGTATTCCTATCTTTACTCATCCCTCTGCCATTGCTCTATCTAAAAATAATAAATTAAATACAGGAGGGATAGCAACAACAACAATAACAACAAGAAAACAAGCACACAAACGAGCTAGCAGAAGGCCTTTTGTCATGTAATGGAAGACAGTTTAAAAAAAGAAGTGAGATTCAGGAACTATTGGAGCTTTTTGCTAGCTTTATGTAAGCCTTCCAACCTTATGCCCATCAGATGTATTGGGCTACAACACCTACCATCTCCAGCTAGCCTGTTTGTTGGGGATGATGGGTGTTGAACACCAAAAAATTAGAGGGCACCAGGTTGTAGAAATCTGTACTAGGCAGTTACCGTGTGTTCAAATATGAAGCATTTAAAACTTTCTTTAATTCAGTGCACGCTGGATGCCTGGTTCCTTTCAGTTCTTCTTTACATGCAGCCTCAGCTCTTGTTTCTTTGTTAGCCTAACAGCTCAGAGTTGAACTGCCCTCTTCTGTTCCAAGCTTCCTTTGCCTTCTAATGTAACGGTTCACTGACTGTATAAAAACACAAAACTTGAAGTAATTCTAGCTAAGATCTGATATACTTTATGCAAAGAAATGTAATTATTTGATTTTTGCCTTGACACAGGACAACAGCAGAAGTCTTCTGTCATACATTGTCTCGTATTATTTGCGCAATTTTGATGAGGTATGTATAAACACCAATTTAACTTTTATTAAAAAAAATAGGGTGATTTAAAGCACAATCCTATGTGCATATATGCACACAGCAATTCCCAGCATTTCCCAACCGTCCACCTTCTCTGGGGAGGCATTCCAAAACCCAGTGCTGCCCCTCAGAAGAGCCTCTTACCAGTAGCCACACTCCATACTAGCTCCGCAGGGACACCCAGAGAAGGTTTCAAAAGTGACCTCGGTGTCGGGAGGGGTGAAGGTAATCTTTCAAATAACCTGGCTTCAAGTTCTTTAGAACATGAAAAGGATGAATTGAAGCCAAACCATATGACAAAGATGGCATAACCTGATCAAACTATCCAATCCCAGCTGGTAAATCCCTTTGCATTGTTTTGGCTATTTCCATACCATTTTCAGGAACAGTCTTTTATACAACACATTATAGTTATCTAACTAGGAGGTTATCAAAACATGGATAACTATAGCAAGGTTAGGGTTGCAGCCTAAGCTGACGAAAGGCACTTTTGTAATACCATTGGATCGATGAGTACCCCAAAACTACAAATCTGATCCTTTGTTGTGTGTGAGGGAGGTGTTGCGATCTCTAGAACAAGTGAAATACCACTCATCTGGGAAGATGACCTACTTACCAACATTACGAACTTCTTGTCTGCCTTAAGTCTCACTTTACCGACCCTCATCTAGACCATTACCATACACAGGCACCAGTTCAGAACACTCACTGGATTTGATGGAAATGAGGGTTGTTGCTGAGTGTCACCAGCATTTTTGTGACACCTCAGCCCAAATATCCAGATGGTCTCATGCATGGGTCAGACAGGTTTTGACAGAAACAGCACTCGTGCCATTCCTCAATCAGCAAAGGTGACTGAGATCGGCCAGGATTTATTTCTGACTAAACCATCGTAGGATCGTGCCATACGTGATACTGCTTGGCCCATGCATGTGCTGGATTCTCACAACTTGGACTAACTAGGCTATTATTATACTACTTTTCAGATTGTTTTAATGCATAGGTGATAAAGGAGTGTTGTTCTTATATCAGTTCCATCCTTAATTTGCTGTTTTGTATTGAACACATCTATTTCATGTTCCATCAGGATGCTGGAAAAGAGCAGTGTATCTTCCCTCTCCCAGAGCCACAAGACCTTTTTCAGGCTTCTCAGTTAAAATTTGAAGAGTTCCATAAGGATCTTCGCAAACTTAAAAAAGACTTACGGGGTATGTAACTGTGCAGTATTCATAGCCACTTTGCATTTGAGATATGTGCAGACCTATTTCTAATGTGTGCCAGCAGTTAGGCACATCTATAAGACGTTTCTCTATGTGTGCATGCTAGCAAGCCAAGAAACCCTAAAAAATATGGTGCTCAGAAAGCCAAATATTCTTCACAGCCATGAATAAGGAACATCAGGAGACAGTCAGATGACCAGCTTTGTAGAGGAGAAAGTAGCTGCACAATGGACTTTAGATGACCCTTTGAATCAAATTTGTGGCTTTAAAAATATAATGTATGAAGTTTCTTTGTCAAAAGTGAGTGGGGCCAGAGAGAAAGCTATCCTTAGGAAATATGTCAACATATAAATGTATTAACTTTTCTCAGTTGGAAAAATATGGTCAAGAAAGTAAGACACTTAAGGGAGTTACTTGGACTGAAGGGCTCGACACATTTCACTGCAAGGAAGGCTACTGACTTCTGAGTCATATGTGTAGTAGCATCAGTGCTTTTTTTGTAAAAACAAAAAAAAGGGTGCCAGAACTCACATCTTGTTAATCTTTTATTTAAAAAATTGTATATTCAGTTCTTAATATTCTGGCCTTTTTATTAGCAGGACCGGTGGTTAAGAATTACTAATATTTTTCATTTTTAAATTTGGGCTCACACTTTTACAGTAAAAATTTAAAAAAAAAAAATTCAATTCACCACCATTTTTTTTAAAATAAAGACATTATTTACCTTTTGCATGTAGCCAGTCACTCTACACACACCAACACTGTGTAATGAAACTTAATGGTCACTGCCCACAGTCAGCACTCAGCACGCAACCACACGACCAGGCACAAGCCGAGCAGCGTCACAAACTGAGCAGCGCCATCACAACCAGCACGGACACACAAGCAGCCCGCATGAACCATTTTAATGATTTTGCTGCTGACCTGCTACACCCGATAGGGTGATTCAAATTCATGTGGAAAAATCCGTCAAAAAAAGGTGCCGGAACGCCGTTCTGGTGCATTCTATGACTAAAAAAGCCCTGAGTAGCATGATGTGGTCCGTCTAGTTCTCTAAAGCAGCAGAACACTCTTAAACCAGGACAGAGGCTCTTCTAGTGAAGAGGGACTGCAAAATTCCTGGGAATCGTAAGAGCTGGCATGAATCATGGCTGACTGTGAGCAAGTTTCACTGCTGCCACAAGTGTGCTTGGTGGCCTTATGCAAGACACAGTCATTTACCCTCCCCTGGGTGATAACACAGCCTATTTAAAAGACCGGGTCTGAGGGCTTGTTCTGTTAGCAGGTTGTATTAGCCAGTGGGGCCACTTTGCTTTAATTTGATCACATCCTCTGCACTTGGCAGGCATGTGGAGGAAACCCTCTGAAGCACTGTTCTGGTGACTGGTGTTCCCTGAAGCTTGCCACTCAGGGCTGTGGGACCCATGGGCAGGGTGCAGGTTGCCTTTGGGATTCATCAGCTCACAAACTCAGAGTTGTAAGAGAATGACAGAGAGAAGCCCTCCTATTTACCTGGAAGGTCTAGCCCTGGTGTCCACAAATCCATCATGCTCAGAGGCCAGGGTGGCCTCATCCACATACCTCATTGGCTGAAGTGGGCTTCCCATGCAGGCACACTTGCAGGTCCTGCAAAGGTGACACTAGTTCATCTGCTCTTTATCTAAGCCACTTTTATCCCACTGCTCAGATATCATAGACTCATAGAATGGTAGAGTTGGAAGGGGCATGAAGACCATCAGGTCCAACCTCCTGCTGCTGCAGGACACCCGTTTACACCATCCCACTCAGATGGCGATCCAGTTTTTTTTTAAATGTCTCTAGTATGGGAGAGCCCACCACCTCTCTAGGCAGTAAGAGTCTCCTGAAATAGCTTACATACAGTAAAAAAAATAATTTTTTTTTTTACAATATGAAAAAGACTCTTCACAAAAGAAAAAAGGATGAGGAGGGAAGGGAGAAAAGGTGAGGGGGTTTTCATCAGGGATGGTGGGCTGGCCTGCCTCCCACCTCCTCTCCCTCTGCTGCAGCCTGCTTGAATGGCTGCTGGTGGGCACCTTTCAGCATGGCTGGTGGACTGGTCACTGTGGTGCAACACATCAGCTGCATCTTGCCTCTTTGGTATGCTCATAATAGTTTCCAGTACAGTTTTCCGGCTCAACATAGACAATTAATTGCTGGGAGTGAAATGCATTTGTTGCTCTCCTCCCAAAATTAAACACACACACTGCTGCTCTGATCGTTATTTCCATGTAGAGTTCTTACCTGCAGTGAGAGATTTCAGAAAGCTGTGTCAACCAAGTGAAACCTCCTAATTGTAATGACCTCTAGCATGCACTGCTCCATTGGACTGTCTCATTATATTAGCAATCCGTGGGAAACCGTGCAGGCTTTAAACAATTTTAATAATGTTGAATGTTTTCTTTATGGTGCATAATCAGGGTGATAAGCTTGGGTGCACATGTGCCTAAAAGGGAACATTTTATTGGTTTTCCTTAAGGGATGATTGTGTGTGTGCATGTGCGAATGTGTGTGTTGTCTTCAAATGGCGACTGCAGAAGTTCCTTTATTTATTTGCCTTTGCTTTATGAGTGGCATGCACTTGAGTTTGCTTGTGTTAAAGAAAAGTACTTAAAAGTATTAAATTTAAAAGATGTGATTTTAGATCTTTTAAAAAGCATTTTGGGGACTTTTTTCCTAGTTTAGAACAGGAATTTCATTTGCAGTTCTTAGCAACCATTTATGTAACTTATCCCTGCTTAGCTGCCACCAATTTCTTCTCCCCTTGTTTTAAAGCATTATGTGGCTGGACATTAATCTGTTATGTACCAGACATTCTACTAAACAAAGGACCCGAGACAGCAAGAGATTTTATTAATATAACTTAGTGGTTTGGCTCCTTCGATTGCCCCTCGATTTCACAGCTCTCCAGGATTCTCAGTCTAGCCTTTCTCAGTTCAGTGACATATAGTTTGTTAAGCAACCTGATCTGCTTTTGATCTTTCCTGGCTGTCAGCAGACCTCCTTGATGCAGTCATGTTGAGTAATAACTTTCAGTAACTCTGTCATTCCATACTCGAAATTTTAGCACTTGCTGCAAGACTTAAATCAACTTGCCATGTTAAAGAGAACTGGATAGCCAGCTCCATTGAAACAATGCAGGGAAATGTTAAGTTTAAGCACTTTAAGGTCTGCAAGGTACCCCTCCCCACCCAGCCCCACCTTTTAGAAGTCCTGGAGCATTGTGCTTCAGTGTGCACATTTGCAAAGGAGAGTCCAGTTCTCAAGAGCTTAATATGCCAATCCTTCTGCATTGGGCTTATTTCAGGGTCGTTCATATAATGTTGCAGCCTTAGCACTGCAGCTGGTTCATTGGCTCCTGGAGCTTAGTCCTGCCTTCTTAAACTCCATCTGTAGGCATTGTAGAAGACCTGCCTCTGCACATTATTTCTCACCTCAGTTTCTTGTTGTCATTACATACTGAACTGTTCTTGCTTCAGTGTGCGGGAGACTGTACTTGAGGAACTGTTGTCTCCCTCTCTGATGAAAACAGTTGTGTATGCAAATAACACAGGAGAAAGAGAAGCAAGCCTGAATATCTCTGCCAATGTACTGAGGAGTATCATTGGCTTGGATGTGAGTGGAGGCAGGGAAAGGGGGCTTGGTTATCCAGGGATAACCTGGGGGCTGGATTTGGCCCTGAGGCTTGCAAGTCTTGCCTTGGAAATATTTATCGGGGGCAAGAAATATGTACAAAATCTAATCACTTAAATTGTGATTACAGTTTGGTCTTTGCTTGTTTTAAGCTCAGCTCTCTCTGGCCTGCTAGCCTCCTAACATATTTGGCCTTTGGCCATACTGGCTGCAGCTGATGGGAGGGGATGTCCAAAATATCTGGAGGATGGGGAAGCCTGTAATTCAACCTAAGTCAAATCTAAGTTCTAGGGATTCATATGTGGCTAAGCTTAAGTTTATCTTTCTGTATAAGAAAGTATATGCAATGGACTTGTCAACTGCCTCGTCATTTCCCTGTGGCTGCAGCAATGACAATCTAGCCAGGTGGCATCTGGAGTATGCAGAGTATCATCCAGATATGCTGCTTGGCTCTTGGAAATGCTGAACCTGGGCAAGGACTCTAGAGCATGATGCTCCTGGGAGTGGGAAAATGGCACAAGGATCTGTGCAAGTCCCAGAGGACAAAGGGCTTCTGCAGGACATCCAAGGAGGACATCCAAGGCACCAGAGAAGAGGGTGAAGTGATAGCAAGTGGGTGAGCTGTCTGAAGCAGGCACTCCTCCAAGCACTCACCACCTCTGACCAAGGAAGACAGGCTTTTGGCCCCTGCAAAGAAAAAGTGTTTTAAATCTGTGGGATTAATAAAGCAGGTATGTGTGCACACAGAACAGAAGTAGGTCAATAAGATTTTGTGTGTGCTCCTCTTAATTAAACTAAAAAGTGTAAAGAGTGTCTTTGTTTTGAGAATGGAGACTGCTGCCTGGGTCTGTGTTGCGCTACCCTCCCCAGTCCCAGCAACAAGAATAGAAACTATATCTGAATATATATTCCCATGAGAAATTACTGGAATAGAGTAAGAATTGTAGGTAATGCTTCACAGGCAAGTTTTCTGATTGCCATTTATTGTACACCTACATAAATTCCTGCTTGCAGCATTTAAAATGTATATAACCTGAGAGGAAATGCCAAACTATAAAATATAACAAACATATTATAGGCTGCTGTACAAATCAAATACTTTAAAAATAATTTTAGGCATTAGGCTCATATCAAGATGGGAATTCGGTTGGACTGATTCCAATGTAATGTAACTGATGGCCGATGGTGCAGTTGAAGTTTCCCTTCCCCTCTTTTCCACCCCTTGCATGAACACCATATGTGCGCTGGAGGGTTCTCTAACCTTCTGAACAAAGATTTGGAGTGTGTGAAGCAGCTTCAGTACAGAAGGAAAATTAGATCTATCAGCAATGTCTGTT